GCAGGAGAGTGACCTAATCTAATTTCACATTTTGAAAAACAACCTAATGATCTTATGTAAATAAGTGGAAATGAGATGGGATGGAAGGTTGTAATAGTTTTGACAGAGATGATTTAGCCAAAATGTTACTAGTGGCAGTGAACTTGAAGGGAAATCGATGGATTTGAGATGTGTTTTAGAGATAGAACCTACAGAGCTTGCTGGTGAACTGGATTATGTGAGGTGAGCAAAGAAAAGGAATATGCAGTGACCATTTTTTTGCCTGAGGACTGAATAAATGGTGGCATCCATTACTTTGAGGAGAACAGAGAGTAGGGAGAGGAGCAAAAAGATCTGTGAATGAGATAGCAGAAGTCCAGTTCCTGAGCTTAATGAGTGAATTAATTAATTAATTAATAGATATTTGAAGGTAGGTAGATCCTTGTGCTGGGCATTTAATATGTTGTCTCTCTGAGACCCCCCCCCCTTTTTTTTTGAGACAGAGTCTCACTTTGTCAGCCTGGGTCAAGTGCTATGGTGTCACAGCTCACAGCAACCTCATACTCTTGGGGTTAAGCCATTCTCTTGCCTCAGCCTCCCAAATAGCTGGGACTATAGGCAATCCCCACAACGCCCGGCTATTTTTTTTTTTATAGAGATGAGATCTCGCTCTGATTTTCGAACCTGTGAGTTCAGGCAATCCACCCACCTCGGCCTCCCAGAGTGCTAGGATTACAGGCCTGAGCCACCATGCCCAGCCTCTTCTGAGCCATTATCTCTGGTCCTTTGCTCTAGCTAGTCTCTGTTTTCATGAAATGTTGGAAACCTTTGCTCCTGGAACTCTGAACTTATAGGCTCCAGACACCACAAGGCTTCTAAAGACTGTGGCATAGTCCCTAAACCATGGCTGTGTCTGGAGAGCTGAAGACGAAGACTTCTGCCCATAGACTTGTCAGTAGGAAGGGATTTCTGTCTTAGTATGAAAGTTAGTTCATTTTCCTTTTAAATATAAATGTTGGCCCCAAGCAGTGGCCATGCATGTAATCGTAGCACTCTGGGAAACTGGGGCTGGTGGATTACTTGAGCTCAGGAGGTTGAGACCAGCCTGAGTAAGAGTGAGACTTTGTCTACTAAAAATAGAAAAATTAGCCAGGTGTCATGGATGGTGCTTGTAGTCCCAGCTACTCTGGAGGCTGAGGCAAAACGATCACTTGAACCCAAGAGTTTGAGGTTGCTGTGAACTATAATGATGCCACAGCACTCTCCCCAGGGTGACAGAGTGAGACTGTCCCCTCCAAAAAAAGGAAAAGGAAAAAATAAATGCCAGTGAGTACTTTGGAATGAGCATGGAGAGGTCAGATTAACAAAGGACAGTGTATTGGTCCTGATTGGACCTCTGCTTGATGGGGTTTGGGAAGAAGGGGTCTGGCCTTCTGAAATAGCCAGGACCAACTAACCAGGCATCGTGGCAGGTGCCTGTAATCCCAGCTACCTGAGAGGCTGAGACAAGAGGATCACTTGAACCCAAAATCACTTGACACCACAGCACTCTACCCAGGGTGAAAAGTGAGACTCTCTCAAAAAAAAAGAAATGGATAGGACCCTGTGGAAGCCACAGTCAGGTCACCAGCCCTTTTTGTTTACAAGTATCAGGTGTGTGGACGAATGAACAGTTAAGAAGATGGTGGATGAGGCTGAAGCAGAAGCCTCTCTGGGTGTCCTGCTGCTGGGCTCAGAGAGTCTGGCTCCTCCATGGGGCATGAGAGTCAGTAAGGCTTTGAATCAGGCCATTCTGTGATGTCCTTTTGCTGGCATCCTCTGTTTTTGTGGTGTTTTGTTTCTCTTCAGCATATTCAGACTGAATGTGTCGGGACCCAGAGCACATGGTGTATATTTTATTTTTAATTTATATTTCACTCCTCCCTTCATCCCTCACCCCTACCTCCAACACAGTACTAACACCCAGGACAATACAAGAAATGAATTTTTCCCTACTATGGGAGAAGGCCAAGGACTTCCAGGTATTCCCTGAAAACCACTCAAATGTAGCATTTCTAATGTTTTTGTCTCCCTTGTCCCCTCTTAGTTTAGCAATT